ACGCACTGGAAGCTTTATTTAAGCAACGACAGCACACACCACCCACACCCCACTGGCCCCCCCCCCCCCTCACCGGCGACAGTCCCCGCCCCCCCCCCCCCCCCCCCCCCCCCCCCCCCGTCAACAACTGGTTTCCTCAGGTCCTCCAAAAGCTGCTATAGCTGGTCTCCTCCGTTGCTGGACATTTACAGACTGTTGTTAAAAGAAGAGGGAAAGCCTCAAAAACAGAAACATGGACCTGGAGCAACTTTTTTGCTGTCATAAACTTCAAAACGATCTTTATTTTAAACATTTTACAATTTTCTTAGTTTAAACATTTGTTATTGTGTTAATTGTCGATAAAATATGGCTGTATGAGATTTACAGACCATTGCATTCTGTGTTTCTTGTGTTTACATTATACACAGCATCCCAACTTTTGCAGAGTTGAGGTTGCAATCGCCCAATGAAAATGTCAACTTTATCTATAAATATAAGTGTTTTGGATAGTTTAAACTTTGTTCTTACTCACACCAAGCGGTAGCCCTCAGAGGCAGAACAACGCGATATTGAGCCAGTCGCCCTCCCAAGTGATTTGGATGCTTGAATGCTCACATGAATCATGTCATGAGTCGTCTCTCACTCTGTCTCAATCTCTGCCAGGGTATTGCGGGGACAGACGTGGCTAAAGAGGCGTCCGACATCATCCTGACTGATGACAACTTCAGCAGCATTGTCAAGGCGGTGATGTGGGGACGAAATGTTTACGATAGCATCTCCAAGTTCCTGCAGTTCCAGCTCACGGTCAACATAGTGGCTGTCATCGTGGCCTTCACCGGGGCCTGCATCACTCAGGTGGACACATGCACATGCATGCTGACGTTTGTGCACTCCTGTACACGCACACATAAGTATACTGCAGACACACAAATGTCACTTCTGAAAGCATCACTCACTTCACATCGGCTAAGACAAGGAACTGCTAAATTGCTTTTACTGCATTTTTAAAGCAAGCTTATGTAAGCAGCAATATCGTGCCATTTCAAGAGGTTCACGTTTTCAGTTGGGCATCATCAACCTGCAGAAATATGTGTTAAAGAACTAAAGAAGTTTTTGTAAAATGTTGTGAGTTTGCAAGGTGGAAAGATGACACAGATGCAGGTGAAATCTGAACATATTTGCACACTCGCAGATCAGAATTGTGTCCAGGTGAAGTTCTGCAGTTAAATAACAGGGAACACAAGGAGCAGAACAAATGAAATGCAAGGAGCTGGCAGCTAAAAGAGTAACTGAGGAGCCTTGACAGGGACAGGGAATAATCATCTACAGGCTCTTTCATAAGACGCCTCAGTCCAGGATCGAGACATGTTCTAGCAGCCGCAGTGTAACTTTTGAATAAACCGAGGAGGCGAGGGCGGTTGACGACAGTCCACCTCTGGTGTGCCTCTATGCTGTTAAGCGAGGTAGTAACAGAGTCGGTCCGGCCACCATGTGAAAAAGAAAGCTGCTGTGCTGCAGCTCAGTAATGCAATGAACTGATTACATAAATGTGCGCCTGCCTTCTCGCCCGATTGAACAACAACAAAAAGATTAATTACAGAGAGGATATTGTTGATGACGCACAGTAACTTCGTTGTTTGTGTAATCACAAAAATAGTTAACCACAAAGTGAATCTCTAAAGTGAGTTAATTTGTCGTGTTTTGTTATTGACATGAAGGAGATGTACTTCGCACATTTAATGCACTCCACGGCATCTCAGCTGAGTTCTGCTCCACGCCTCTAACGATTCCACACTTCCCACTTCGTTTCTGAAAGCTCACGTCTGAGTGGAAATCTGTGATTTATGAACGGCCAGAGGGAGGAGGAAGACATACTGGTCTGTGCAGCCGTTTCACAGAACTGTTTTATAAAGGAGCCTAATGTCAGGGCCCTGTTTCACAGAAGTAGAATAATCCACAGTTAGAAAAACAAACTGGGTTTGACCAGTACTTCTCAGAACATCCTGGATTAATTGGTTCGCAAATGCCAAAGTGGGCTGGAGAGGAGCTACAAGGACACTAATTTTAACATCTGCAGTAACACCTTAACATGTCTAACATCAGCACGAGCAGCAGTTTAATATAACTTATATACAATTAAACCAAGGAGTGACAGAAACGTCCAATGATAACAGTCCTACAGAATACAACGCTGGTCTTAATTCATCTGTTGATGGCTTAGAGCTGAAAGATGCCACAGCTTCCACAGAAACTTCTGGGGTTTTCTAACCGTGGTCACACAAACACTGCAGCAAGACTGTAAGCTGCCTAGAGCAGATCTTTGAGAAGTTAAAAAAACTAAATATTAGAGATTTTACCACTGATCAGTGAAAACTCGGCCTTATTCGACCAGGACTTCTGACACAAGGCTCTGGTTGATAATGTCTCTGCAGGATTCTCCTCTGAAGGCGGTCCAGATGCTTTGGGTGAATCTGATCATGGACACGTTTGCTTCACTTGCCCTGGCCACTGAGCCCCCAACCGAAGCCCTCCTACTAAGAAAGCCCTACGGCCGGAACAACCCGCTCATCTCACTGACCATGATGAAGAACATCTTGGGTCATGGAGTGTACCAGCTCATCATCATCTTCACCTTGCTGTTCATAGGTAGGTCCAAAGGTCTTTGTGAACAACCATCTCCTTGACTCTTACAGAATGTTTAATAGTGTGAATGCTGACTAAGTACTACCTACTTTTCTTGCATACTGTGTGCTATTTTAGTAAATCAAAATCTCAAACAGGAGCTGGATGCTGTGACTTTTGTGTTTTTGTAACTTTTATACTTTAAAAAATATTTACCTTCCATCCATTATCTTTACCGGCTTACTTCCTTTTCGGGTCGTGGGGGTCAATCACTGTGCGAGAGGCGGGGGACACCTGGACAGGTCTCCAGTCCATCACAAGGACACAGAGACAAACGAGACAAACAGCCATTCACTCTTTCACCTAGAGACAATTCAGAGTTACCAATCAGTCTAACATGCATGTTTTGGTCTGGGGAAAGAAACCGGAGTACCTGGAGAAAACCCACGCATGCACGGACAGAACATGCAAACTCCACCCAGAAAGGCCCCCAGGCCGGGATTTGAACCAGCAACCTTCTAGCTGAGAGGCAATAGTTAAAAAAAATCCCAAAAATCTTCCCTGTAGAAAAATATTGTTCTCTTTAAAATCTGCTTCAGCAAACTGTCTCTGTTTTTGTCTTCCTATGCTACTTTAAGCTTCTAGCTGGTCTTTAGTTAGTTTTAGCTTCTAGGTAACCTTTTAATGCTTTTAGCTGGTATTTTGCTACTTTTCACTTATAGATAACCCTTTTAGATAGACACTTTTGGCTGCCTTTATTTTATAGCTAACACACTTGAAGCTAACTTTGTGCTACTTTTAGATAACATTTGGTTATTTTTGGCTGTTTTATGTTGCTCCTTTTAGCTAATTTAATTTTCTTTGAGTTTTAACATGTCAGTTTTAGCTTCCTAAACGAATTTCAGCTGTCATTCAGGTTCAGCGTTCATGCAGCGTTTCAGCAGAATGTAATTTCTCTAGTTGTATCTAATCCCTCAACACTACAGCTGAATCTGAAGCTTTAAATCATCTTCTGAAAGTTGTCCTGGACGTGATGGAAGTTGAAAATAGAAGCAGAAAATATTTCAGCCTTAGTGGAGACACAGCCAGCCAGCAGCGCTCTGACTCACCGGATGTCTGCTGATGGTAATTGGCCTAGCCATGCTCGTTTGGGAACACACACACGAGCGACGACGAGCTTCCTGTTACAGAACCCTCTTGAGGTACGCATGGAGGGCTTGTTTCAAACAAGCAACTCAAATTCAAGAACAAGTGAAGGAAAGCACATAGCCAACACAGAAACAGAATAAGTGTTTTTATCACATCTATTCTGCTGGAAATCCACATATATCAGCCAAGGACTGCGTTGGAAAAACATCCACAGAGTAACAGCTTCATGATGATCTCAAAAAACAGAAACTGATCAGATTATTTTAACAGAAAACAGAGTGTACAACAGTTACTGTATAAAATATCTGATCCTCTCTTTATTTTCTTTCCACCTTATTCCTAGCCCCCATGCTGCTTTGCATGACCAACGTTTGTTTATGTGTGAACAGTACGAGCTAATGTAGTTTCTCTGAGTGTTGTGGATTTAATTTAAACCTGTAGGAACACCACCTGTCAGAGCTCAAACATGATATAATCATACCGATGCTGCTGAGGACGAGGGACGGAGGACGAGCTGAAGAAGTGCCTGCAGATTACATCTACTAGCACATTTAGCTACATCTCCTAGCACATTTAGCTACATCTACCAGCACATTTAGCTACATCTACTAGCACATTTAGCTACATCTACTAGCACATTTAGCTACATCTACCAGCACATTTAGCTACTTCATTGACTCAGTTCTTCTGACGGTGAAGTGATGAACAACCTGAACAGCTCTGAGGTGTATCAGTGTCTCCACAGTAATAAGATCAGTCTTGTTTTGTTAAAAGAGGTGGGACACAATCTTACTGACTTTAAGTCAGACACAGAGTCCAGACAAAGCCTTAAAGTCCTCCATCACTGAGCTTGAGTTAATTACAGAGAAAATCGTAAAACTGAAGACAAATACTATAAAGCTGTGACCTCCATACACCTGAAATCATCTCTGATGTTCTCGTCACTGTTTTCAATCCTTCTGAGGATCCGGCGTCTCTTCTCCAGGGGTTTATTTTAGTCCAGACACAAAGTAGGATGCAGGTTTTCCTCCGTCGGCAGTTTGTCAACAAAGTGAAATGAGCTCACAGAGTTTTGGGCGGTCTCTTCAAGTTCACATTTTTCAGCCTCATTCTTCTTAATTCCTCATCTGTAGGTAGGAGATGAAACTACCTCTTATCACAGGAACTCTTTTTGTTTTGGGTTCATGTTCAAACTCTGTGGTTGTAGCCACTGATTTAGTTTGATCCGGTTGATCTGCAGCCGTGAACACAACAGGTACCTGAACTCAGCACGGCTGTTTTAGTAAACTTTATGGTTGTTAAATAGATGTAAACAAAACAAAAACAGAATTTATTTGCTGAACTGAAAGAATTACTTTCAAATAAACCGCGGTCTGCGCTCCATTAACCAATACTTACTGCTACTTCCTGTCTGACAGGAAGTTGTACCCATAATCATTTATACAGTGGAGCCCCCAGGAACAAATAAAGTGGATACTTTTATTCCAAAGAGCTATTTCTTCTTGTAATCTACCAAAGTGTTGCTGATCACTAGTACTGCAGGATTTATGAAGGTCTTTCAAAAACCGTCCTTGGACTTTAGCTCCTTGACTGTTGGACATATATCAACATGGTGTTTAATGTGATGATTAAAATCTTTGAAAAAACGTGGAAACGTGGAGGACCGAAAAATATGTCAAGCCCAAAGAAATCAGATGAAACAGCAGCATCCAAAGTTTTGTTTTTAAGACATTCAGAAAACTTGGAGACCTATGATCAGAAATTCTGTAAAAGATTAAAAAACAGTTTGAGTCCTTGAAATCAAAGATAAAGAAGTGAAGACTGGGTCTAGATTTATTCACTGACAACCCTCTAGATATCTGTTTGCACAACTAAGTGTTCAGATATCTAACTATCCTCCAGGAAACAACACGTTTCATAAAATGGATTACCTTTCTTTCTTCTTTTTTTAACCCTCTCATTAGCTCTTCCTTCTCTGCTTTTTACCCCCCAGGCGAGCGCATGTTTAACATCGACAGCGGCCGCAACGCTCCGCTCCACTCGCCCCCCTCAGAACACTACACAATCATCTTCAACACCTTCGTCCTCATGCAGCTTTTTAACGAGATCAACGCTCGCAAGATCCACGGCGAGAGAAACGTCTTCGATGGCATATTCGCTAATCCCATCTTCTGCACCATCGTTCTGGGGACTTTCGCTGTGCAGGTCAGGCTGAATGACCTGCTGGAACAAAATGCTTGTTTTGTCCTTCAGTGGTGTTTCACGTTTATTTATTCAGAGGACATTAGAACACAAAGACAAAGAGACAAATCACGTGTACTAAAACAATATAATGCTGCTTGTTGCATCGTCTCTTGAGACGATTCTTTTGGAAAATTAGATCAACGTTTTCTTTCCAGCCTCGACAAGAGGCTAATCTGAATATAACATGACAGATTATTAAGAACACGTTGATTGTTGTACATTTACTAACAGGATATAAGTAATCTCGAACATCAGATTTATGTGTAAAATGTTATTTTTCCAGCAGTTACAGTAATTTCGATCTAAAGCAGGAAATAAAGAGGCTACCATTTACTCTTTAGACAGACAAGCAGCAGCAACTCAGACTATTCTGTCATCTTCCCAGGACAGAAAGAGTAGAAACGGTTCCTCAGGCTAAAACGGCACGTGCTTTTAGTTAAATATGCTGTTTGAACTTACTCTTAGTGAACACAGGCTAAAAACAATGGATCAGGAAACTGTGGGTACACATAAAAGCAAACAAAAACAAGTGAAAGCGATAAAAAAAAAAAAAATTTCAAAGCTTCTCTGAGCTTCATGTTGCTCTAGACAAAAAACAAAAGGTGTTGGCTGGAGTTTAAAACTGACAGAACTAAAGTTCAGACGACCCTGGTTTAAAAAATGTCTAACAAGCTCAAGACTGTAGGCAGTTTGAGAGGTGAAAAAGAATGACGTACAGTTCTTAGGAAGGATTATATTGTATTTAATAGCCTGCATTACGCCCCCACTGAGGTCTACGTGTGGTTTGTCTCTCCTGAGCCTTGTTCCTTATGTAAATTATCATGTTGCCATTAAAAGTGTTACTGCTGCACCTGCCCAGACTTAAATAATCAGCGTGTAATGGACCGCGCTTAATGAGGCAGAACACATAATTCAGTGCACACTCTAAATTTGTTTTTGTACAGTGAGATCAAATTAAACAGAATCACTTTTGAGACTTGATCTAAATCTTTTTTTTTTCTGCAAATAGTTTGAAGAAAGTTCATGAAATTTGTGAAATGTGTGAAAATGCCCAACATGTTTTAACACCAGCACATAACGAAACCAACTAGCATTTCTTGAAGGGATGCACATCACCCGCCACCGGGCGTGATTTGTTACTGCTCAGAGATGATGTCAGGGATGAGTCTCAGCTACTACCACACCAAAGTTTAGGTCTATATTTGTAGTCGTTTTGTGTTGCCGAGTGGTTTAGCTGCGGCTGCTACCTTGAATTGAAAAGTATATAAGTTGTAGACGTGCATCCACTTTCTGAAAGTTTCATTTAGATCCATTCACTGGTTCATGAGATATTTTACTAAAAGATGAACGAACACAAAGGTAATCTCGTTATCATCCACCTTTCATGGCAGCGGACAATAAATAGAATAATCGCAGGTTAAAATACACGTCTGTATGTGGGACCACTTATTTTCTGGGTTCAGTGATTTAAAGGGACAGTCCAGTCAAACTTCAAAGTGATATTGTGTCTAATATTAGTAATTTATCAGCTGTATTATCAGTTAGAGCACAGAGAAAGAGGTAAAAGTCCAGGCTAGGCTAATGGCTAGCCAAACGAGGGCCTGCTTTTTAAATTGATTTTCAGGCTTACAAAACAACTCATTCTCAAAAGAGTCTTTCAGCTTTGGAAAAAAAAATACATAACCTAATAATAAACCCATTTTCACGACACGATTCGTTCAGTTTATTGCTGTTTTCTCAACCAAGCAACGTCCGTGTTATTTAAATGTCTGTGCGGAGCATAGACCGTGTTTACACAAATGGTGCTGAGGCTGCTGAATGTATCAGTCCACTGGGAGATGGGTAAACTTTTGATTGACTACAGACGCTGATCAGGCACACTACAGACCACCTACACAGACACTAAATACTATAAATAACTATGATTCTGCCATTACTGGGATAATATGCTAATTATTTTTACAGTACATAGTTGGAAGAGGTAAACAGTTCTGGATGATGCAGGGCTGGTTTTTCCCTTCATGCTGTGTTTGCATGTTTGTAGTAGTGATGCTCTTCGTTGTGTTTCTGCTGCAGATTGTGATCGTGCAGTGGGGGGGAAAGCCCTTCAGCTGTGCCCCTCTCAACATGGAGCAGTGGCTCTGGTGTCTGTTTGTGGGAGTTGGAGAGCTTCTCTGGGGGCAGGTAAGCAGCTCCATTTCAAACCACAGTAAGCAAGTTCTGTAAATTTATCTGAAATTAAACACTTCTGAGTTCTGGAGCTGTGTTCACAAAACATCTAACAACTATTTCTTATCTTAGATGTAAGATGAGAGTGATTCATCAGAGCAACTCTGAGCAAGAAAACGTATTCAGTCACAGAAAAAATATTTTTAAAAAAACCCACATCACTTATCTTTTTCTGTTTTTTACTCTGCCCATATAATATCCTGAGGTTTAGGAATTATGTTTGAATACATTAAAATATAAAGTACAAAAAACTGTTACAATGAGATGCTAAGCTGTGGGTCTACAACACTTAAAATATATTTAACAAGAAGTTTGAATAATACATTCATATTGTTTTGGGCTTTATAACAGATGAAAAATGAATGAATAAGGGAAATTTTAAAATAGTACTTCGTTATAAATGTATATAATTTGAAAAACTCAATAAAAATCCACCTTGAACATAATTCACAGGAAGCTCACAGTCCTGACTGTATTTATTTACATGAACTTTGATTAGTTTGTTTCTAAAGGCATCACTTTTATCAATGTAAATATAAAGATATTAGGTTAGAGTTTTCTCCTTTGCTGTGTTTCCTTCCTAAGTACAGTGGCTCATGATGGACATACATAAAGTGCATGTTGGTGTGAGCGTTTAAATGTTGAGGCTTTAAAATGCTTCATTTAATTTTTAGAGCTTTATTTTCCAAACATTTTTAGAATATTTCTCTCACTTTTCTTTCATGATTCATTCTAGGGATGCACCAATACTGATAACGGTATCTGCTATTGGTCTGTGCATGTCCTCGTACTTATAAAAGTGTTCCAGTACCACAGTACTGATCCCCTTTTAACCACAGCATGGTGTTCACCTCCCAGTCTAACAGTCAGGTGGTAGAGCAGGAGCAAAGGCAGCCTGTTCTTTTTTTCTATACTAAACGCCAATAAACAGCACAAGGCAAAGAAGAAGAAGCGTGGAAGTAATTCAAAGTGGACGATGAGGACAAAAGTAAGAAGGACTGCAAAATAAACTTAGCAATGTTGTCAAGAAGAACAAGGAGATGTTGCACTTTTAATTCGAGCAATTTGATAAAACATGTTAAAAACCAGCTGGTTTGTCGTTGAGCAGAAGAGAATCCTGAGAATATGTGAATCTGAGCACGAGTCTTCCAACTCACCAACGGGCACGTTTGAAAAAAAAAAATCTCAATGTCCTGCTGTGTTTAAGATGTTATCATGGAGCGTCAGATCCTCTGGTCAATCACACTTTCAAGGTATTTTTAAAAAGTTTAATGGAATTTATTAATGCTCTTATTGTGATCTGTGGAGAGAACAGGGAACAGGTGGAAGAGAACTTGGAGAGGTGGAGGTATGCACTTGAAAGAAGAGGAATGAAAGTCAGTCTTAGTAAGACAGAGTCCATGTGTGTGAATGAGAGGGAGGAGGTGGAACAGTGAGGCTACAAGGAGCAGAGGTCACAAAGGTGCAGGACTTCAAAGACTTGGGGTCCACTGTCCAGGAACATGGGGAGTGTGGTGAAGAGGTGAAGAAGAGAGTCCAGGCAGGATGGAGTGGATGGAGAAAAGTTTGTGACAAGTTTCTGTGGAGTGATTTGTGACAAAACGGTGTCAGGAAAGGTCAAAGGAAAGGTTTACAAGACAGTGGTGAGACCAGCTATGATGTTTGGTCTGGAGACAGACATGGACAAAAAGACACAGGAGACAGAACTGGAAGTGGCAGAAATGAAGATGTTGAGGTTCTCCTTAGGAGAGACAAGGACGGAGAAGATCAGGAATGAGATCATCAGAGGTACAGCCCAGGTTGAACAACTGGGAGATAAAGTTAGAGAGGACACACTGAGATGGTTTGGACGTGTCCAGACGAGGGACAGTGGTTTGGACATGCCCAGAGGAGGGACAGTGGTTTGGACATGTCAAGAGGAGGGACAGTGGTTTGGACATGCCCAGAGGAGGGACATTGGTTTGGACATGTCCAGAGGAGGGACAGTGGTTTGGACATGTCCAGAGGAGGGACAGTGGTTTGGACATGCCCAGAGGAGGGACAGTGGTTTGGACATGTCCAGAGGAGGGACAGTGGTTTGGACATGCCCAGAGGAGGGACAGTGGTTTGGACATGTCAAGAGGAGGGACAGTGGTTTGGACATGTCAAGAGGAGGGACAGTGGTTTGGACATGTCCAGAGGAGGGACATTGTGTATATTGGTAGAAGGATGTTAGAAATGCAGCTGCCAGGAAAAAGATAAAGAGGAGTTAGATGCAGTTAGAGAGGACATGGAGGTAGTTGGAGTGAGGACAGAGGACACAGAGGACAGAGTGAGATGGAGGAGGTTGACTCGCTGTGGAGACCCCTGAAGAGGGAACAGCTGCAAGAAGAATAAATATTAATACTTGATATCAGCAAGTACTCAAATATAAGTAATTTTACTCAGTTTTTTTTTACTGTGGTATTGGTGCATCTCTATTTGACACTCTTTTGATACATAAATGTCTGTCCTGCAGCATTTGTTGCCAATAAAATAAGTTGGAGACAATAAAGAATATCTGACTAGATCTGAAAAGCACCGTCCTGCTCGGTGTAATTACAACAAACGTGGCTCGCAGGTGATCGCCACGGTGCCAACGGAGCGGCTGCCATGTTTGAAGGAGGCGGGGCTTGGCCTGGAGCCGGGCGAGGAGGAAGGAGAGGAGCTTGCAGAGGATGAGGAGGAGATCGACTGCGCTGAAAGAGAGCTGCGCCGCGGGCAGATCCTCTGGTTCAGAGGCCTCAACCGTATCCAGACCCAGGTACTGTTTGAAGGTTTACTGTAGATAGGAACTCACACCAGACATGTCAACCTGAACCTTCACTCGGCCATGAAACATGAGCAGTTTGTTTGAGGCGAATTACAGAAACAAAGGGACGATTTAAATGTCGTAGTATTTTACTTTGAATGAATGAATATGAATACATATTTATACATATATAAACTGAGCTGCAAAACTGTTTGGACATGTGACATTGCCCAGATAAACTGCCAGTGTCATGGCCTTTTCATGCTAACTGAAGAGACTTTTGTAAAGAGACAAAGAACTTCAAATTATGGACTCTTCTTTACATTTTTAGATATGTTTTAAGCTCTACGTCTGATTTGTTCTTACTCTTCAAAAGTCAGGCTGTTTCATCCGGTCTGTGCTGGTTTTTTTAAATGTGCCAAACATAATGATCCAAGTCTTTTCTCTCTTTCTCCAACACAGCTTACATTTCTGTTCTGGCCAAATCTTCACAAAATGGCGCTCTCTAACATGGAAGTGGTACCTTAGATCCACATAAACATCATAATGGGAGATGAATGCTGTGGTTGTAGGCATATAGAAGTGTGTGTATGGATCACAGCTGTGTGTATGGAGGCTAATGCTCAGTGTAAAGCTTTTACATGATTATCTGACTGCTTTATGTGGGGATGATCATTAAACAACATCAGCGTGTCTCATAAGAGAGCCAGGCCAGGCTCTCTCCTTAAGTGCCTGTGGTCAGTTTTTCTTTGGCCTGAATGTGCAAACAGAATAACACACACTCACACACACAGCAATATTGAGAAGGTTACAAAGAACTCAACTGTCATTTTATCTGAGGCAGAAACTCGTTTGGGAGGGTCACACGCTCAGACCGGACCAGCCCGCACTGAGTCATGCTGCTGTTTTGTCTCTGTCCTGCAGATGGAGGTAGTGAGCACGTTCAAGCGCAGCGGTTCGTTTCAGGGAGCGGTGAGACGGCGCTCCTCCGTGCTCAGTCAGCTGCACGACGTAAACACTATCTCTACCCCCTCTCACGTAGCTCTCTCCACCGCAACAGCCAATACCAGCCCAGCCCCTGGGAGTGAGTCCGCCGAAAGCATGCACACAACACACACGTTTACCTGCACACTTACACCCATTTACCTGCACACATGCATTCACAGACGCACACACACTGCTGCACGGCACGTGGACTGCAGTATTTTTACTCTCTATGGTTGTGACCCCCTCCGGCTCGCACGCTGCTCGTGTTTGTGCCTCCTCTGTTTTACGTTTAGTTTATTTTCCCTTTTTAACAGCACCCAGACCTGACCAGCCATGTTGTTCTGGTCTGATCTGGTCCAATCCAAACCCGGCCTCGGCCTCGGGCCAGAGTCTGTTTTGTTGTTGAATGTCGGTGGGTGCAGGAGGCGGCTGGCTGTCCCCTCCCCGTGCAAGGTGAAGCAGCTGTTTGTTTTGACACTCATTTGAAGCAACGAGAAGCTGATTTAAATCTCAGCTGGGACGATGACGTCCTGCAGGTGAGGGAGGACACGGCCACCCCTCCTGCACCACGTTCTGTCTGTGAATGAGGTCAAGCTGTGGTTTTATTCTGCTCTAACAAGTGCTTTCGTTTCTTTTCTCTAAAAATCAAAACAGTTTATTATCGATGTTTCAATCATGTGAAAATGATCTCACTGCCGCAGAATTCATACTCATCACCAAACGGCTTTCACATGGCTTCTGTAATTCTCTAAACTGTAAACCTTCGAGTATAAAAGCCCCATAATTCACTGCTGTTTCCCAGATTAAAGTTAAACACTTCTTTCCTTTCTTTTCCGTCTTCCTTCCTCTTCTCCTGCTCTCACTGGTGTTCGGTGCTGCAGTGTTGTCGACTGGTTGTTAATGTATTTCCAGCTCCGCTGTAACAAGTTTGCCCCGATGTCTTCAAAAGCTCCTGATTTCTCTTTCTCTCTTTGTTTTTTTCATCCTTTCTCTCCATCACAGCTCTTCGCTCTGTATTTATGAATTGATGCAGGTTTCCTGTTTGAAGAAATATTCCTCGAAATGTCCTCCAGTTGTTCTTCTTGTGTAGAGCTGTTGTTTTGTGGAGCTATTTAGATTTTAACAGATCTAAATACAGGCTCTCGTTTAGCGTTCTGATAAGATTTATTTAGTAAGTTTTCTTTTATTTTAAATTATCTTTTACTTTTTTAATCTTCTCCCTCATCCTTTTTTTCATCCTGCCATGTCCTTACTGGAGTAGCTACCATCCCTCATGTTTTCTCTTGGTTTTTTCCTCTTTTCTGTACGTCAGTTCTGCGTGTGTCTGTTTGAAAGCGTGCTAAGAAGCAATGTGCATTTGCTGCCATATCGGAGAGCCGCAGTTTGACTCACTCGTGTGCTTGTGTAGCAGACTGTGCACGCATGTCTCTTCGTTTGACTGTCTTCATTTGCCCTCTCAGTTGCTTATCCTTACCTTTCCATCACCTCCTCCTGCCTCATTCCACTCCACGCTGACTTCCTCCTCACCTTTGTCCATCACCTGTAGGCGCAGAAATAGAGAGGCCCGAGTCGGCGCTGCTGACAGCCTCATTATTCTCCTGCGCAGTCACAGGGAATAACCTGGGCTTCATGTTTAGAAAAAAAAACATAATTTTACAATATTTTACCATAAAAGCGATTCTTTTATTGTTGAAAGCTTCAGGATTGGCTGCCACTCAAGGTAAAAATAATGAAAGGAGCTGAAGTAAGGATGTCGAGTCTAAGTTCACCGAGGTTGAGGTCTTACCTCTGACAGCTCATTGCTTGCTCTTTCAATTAATTCATCGTAATTTGAGGAGGTTGTTGTGTTTAAATCTGGACTGTGACACATTTTTCTTTTTGGTTCGTTCCCTGATGGGGAAACAAATGCATTCAGACAAACGAACGAATGTGAAGGAGCAAGCAAACTTTGTGTTTTATGTGATGCAGGTTTGCTTCTCTGAGTCACTTCATGTTGAACAGCAGCCCATGGGCAAACAAAACGCACCATCATTCTTGTTTGTTTCAACTGTCAGAGCAGAAATGGGGCGGGGGTGGAACGGGTGCAGAATTTAAATAGTTGATTATACTCAAAGGATATTTCAGAAGATGTTTTGTGTTTTCGTTTTATCATCTAATCCTATAAAACCACCAGAGCCAGCCAATGTGTTTGTGCAGCCCTGTTGTTTTATTCACATTCTGTTGTTGCACAGAAACTTTTAACTGGCCGGAGAGTCTGCAGCCTCGCCAGCAGCTCCGAGTGTTCAGGCACAGTCGTGCTTCATACTAATGCTCATGTCAGCATGCAAACACGCTCAAAACGCCAACAGGCTAATGCTTAAAGTTAATTATCTTCATGCTCTTAGAATGTTGGCTCGTTTCGAGTTCATTAATTCTGGGAAAGAAGTTAATCTGTGATTCACAGGATTTTTTGCGAAGTTATATTGTCAGGATAAATTACATTTTCATCGGATTTTGGTACAAAATTAAGTTTCCAGAGCCTTGAAATGCAGAGAGTAAAACAGGGCAGCCGGCTTGGGACCTGAAAGTCCCAGGTTCGATCCCCAGTCACTGCACATCACGTGGCTTCTCTGGGCAGCACGCCTCATCCCCAAAATGCCCCCCGGCACTTTCAATAGCTGCCCACTGCACCACCTGGTGGTGGATGGGTTAAATGCAGAGACTAATTTCGCCATTGTATGGAAACATACAGTTCTGACATTGTGATGACATTATTATTATTATTATTATTATAAACGTGTAACATGTTAAATTGTGTAAACTTTTAATTACCAGATAAAAGGAATTAGATTGAATTTAAAGTACACACTGTAAAGTCGTAGACTTTGACTGGTTCAAAAGCTCTCATAAAATAAGAAACTAATTTTGCACAATTTTCCTTCCTGGAATTTAAAATCTGAAAGCTAAACTTGTGACTTGATGCCAACTTCCACACGTGTTTGTTTACCTGCAGAAACAGCCGAAGTGACAGAAATTTTTAATAAAATAGATGCGGTTTCCTGCATTCTGGTGTATTTAACGGGTTGTTAAACATCTACGTTTACCTACATTTGTAAACACTTCTGTCAAGCATCCTACCCCCCCCCCCCCCCCCCCCCCACACACACACACACACACACTTGACAGTTCCGAGCCGACTCTTCTCCGCTGAATTCTCTGTCCTGCTCAATGTTGTCCAACTCCACATGTGAAACCTCCAGGCGCCTCCTCCGTCTGTTCGTGGAGGCTCCTGCCTGGTTAGCTCGGCTCTCACCCCCACCACTCGCTCCTCCAGTCTCCTCCGCCTTCAGGCGCTTCAGTCCTCGGTTGTCCAACTAAGGACAATGAAAAACCTTTTTTTTTTAATGAAAGTAAATTGGACTGTCTTTTCGACATTTTGATCGTTGTTATTTTGACAAATTAGCGCCATTGTTTGGATACGTAATGTGAATACACAAACATTTCTCTTGTTGTAGTTTTAATAATTAAAAATAATAATAAACCTTAAAGGCGCTTGATATACAAATTAAGGTCAACTATTTAGTTTAAAACATGACTAGAATGCAATAATTAATAGTTTCTTTGAGGCATTAACACATTTGTCAATATTATTTTAGCATATCTTTGTAAAATAAATAAACAATCCCCCCCCCCCACACACACACACACACATTTTTATTTCCTCTGTCATATACTAAAGACATACAGTGGGACAGAAGACAGTTTCAGTAAGGGGACCAACAGATTTATCTTTGTTTGTATTTTGATGTTTCTTTAGGAAACTGAGTCTCACGCAGGACGGAAGCCATGGTTCGTGTAGGGAGGTTATGAATGGTGAGGGAGGGGGCTCATATAAAATTCTCCCAATTGCAAATAATTTCTTATGTCATCAGGACTAACTTACATCTCGCCTTGAGCTGATGTTTGTCCACAGTTATCAGCATTCAGTGCAAAACCCCAATACCCAGGATTCTGTGCGGCCTGCTGTAGTATGAAGCAACGTTCTGTTGTCAGTTTCATCGTCTTTTAGGTGTTTACTGCCAAATCTGTGTTCAGTTGATTATAAATAGTCCAGAACTGGAAACAAAATTTGCCTGTTTCCTGTTTATCAGGTAGAAAGTTTTGTTTTGTTCTGGACGGGAAAAATGAAGAAGACTTTGATGTTTAGGTCTAATTTAAACCCATCTTCAGCTCCTTGCTTATGCCTTAAACTTTTTATTTTTGTTGCAAAACAAAGATCTGAGCTCCTTTAACGGGATGTGAGTGAACGGGAAAAAGAACGGTATCGCAGCGGGTCACAGTTGGGCCATAAGAGCGTCATGTTGAGCGTCACTGTTGGGAAGTCCCGCCCATGAGGAGCCATCTACCTCACAGCTTCTCCCTGTGTTTATGTTGCAGCTCTTCTCATCAGCAGTTGTTTTGCACACAGCAGCTTCTCTCCCTTGCAGCGCCTATTTTCTCCTCAAACTTTAACCCTCCCCGTTTTTCCATCAAACGCTGCTGTATAAAGCAGACGAGAAATGAGGGAAGTGGGTGGGGGGGTTAGTGAAACACAGCAGTGCGCTGACCTTCTGACCCGTCGGGTCACATTGTGGGCGACATATACTCGAAAGTTTACTCTTTCCATGGAGACAAAATGCAAACAAACAAACCAAGCACTGATGAAGTGAGAAAGTAACGCTCTGAAACCTCGTCAGTGTGCACGAGGTGATTTTCTGCTCTCTGACAGGCTCTTTGGAAAAACAGATAAGCACTGAAGCTACTGCTTGACCGTCTGTCTGTCTGTCTGTCTGTCTGTACACCCGTCTGTCTCTTAGTACACACAAGCCAGAGTCAAATATAGAGACTGCTCGTCGTTTGGCCAGCTGCAGCACTGATCCATTCAACCGTCTGACCATCCACCTCATAATCACAGTTTGGACCCGTCGGTGTTGCAGTCGACGTAAAGCGTCTCCTCCTCTGGGCTCATCTGGTTAAACTGTCTCTATGTAGGGCTCTGCCTGTTTGTAGGTTTGCACCGAACTGTCTTTGTTTCTTTTGAGCTCATGCTGCTGCTTTTTTCTTCTATTTGTGTTTGAGGGGCGGGTGCATGGAGCAACTTCCATGGCAAAGGAATGTGTTTCTGCACGCAGACACCATGCACCTTGAAGAATACACATATAACTCACTCTGGTGTGCGTGTGTGTGTGTGTGTGAAGGAGAGCGTTCCTGACACAGATCTGATTCAGCATGAGCCGGTTGCCTCTCTGTGTGCTGCTTCACTCGGGCCTTTGAACCAGTCACCTTCTGTTTCCAGCATTCTAACAGTCACACGCTGTTCTAACCTGCTGATTCTCTGGGATGTCACTTTTTTTTTGTTTTGCAAGTTTTAATTTTAATTTTCTGCAGAAACTTCATCATCAGCATCCTTTCAGTCACTCTGCTCTCTGTTCCTCGCCGCTGCATGGCTGCAGTATGTTCTGCACACGTGCATGCGTGTGTGCGCGCGTGTGGAGATGAAGCTGCTGACTGACTCACTCTTTGGCTCTCGATGTGTTTTTGTGTGTTTGAGCCAGCTCTCTTTAACAAACAGCCCCCCGTGACTGACAGCTGTCTGGTGCATGCAGACATCAGCTGCCGAGCCGCACGATGTGGAGACGACTTCAGCTGCTGGTTCACTCAGTCACACACTGCTGCCGCATGCCTCTTTTTGTGTGTGTGTGTGGACACTGCTTTATTCGGTTCTTATTTTACTCTACATGAAACTAACACTCATCATCCCTGCTTCTTCTCCATTTGTGCCTAACAACCGTGTGTGTGCTTATTTGTGATCCAGTGAGAGGTATGAGTGCTACCATATACAACACACACACACATTACCCATGTGCGTTTGCAGCTTCTGCGTTATTTGTGATGGCGGCTGCTGAGTGTTCTCGTCTCCTGACGTCTGACTGGTGTGTGAGAACTGACCAAACTTGTCATCATCCAACTCATTTTGAGACTTTTTTTAAAACGTTTTGTTTGTTGGAGACACACAGGATCAGGTGGCTGTTGGACGTAACATGTTCCTAACATGACAGAAAAATAAAGACACGGTTTGAGAAGTGTCCCCCCCATGAGGTCAGTAATCACGTCGGAGAAAAATCAGTGAAGATTTAGTTTTGTTTTAGAAGAAAAATTTGATAAACAATTTTCATAAAACAATTTTTTGATATTAGCTAAAACTTGGCTTTAATTGTTTACTTTCATCTTGGAAAAACAAAATCTTTATAGAAAATAGCGACGAAGATCAACTTTTACAAAGTCTAAAGCTTTCACTGTTTTAGCTTTTGTTATAGGAGTTAAATGTTTGCTAGTTAGCATAACTTTAACATAAAGTTAATTTGTAAATGGTTACTTTGTCTCTGTTCAAAATTAAATAATCTAGTTGGCTTATAATAATGATATATTTATAATATAATTATCTTAATAATGTGAGTCTTGTGCTAACGTTGTCTTCAGCAGCTAGAATTATGAGCGTTTGTTAGCTGTAGATATTGTGACATAAAAGTTTGAGTAAAATAATATAAATAAAGCTTGAATATGTTTTCTGTAGCTGTAAAATCTCTGAAGTTTGTGATTCTGATAGTTTCTTCATAACAGCCCATCTGTCCCCAAATAACAAACGTTTTATCCTTTAACATATTTCATAATTTTACTATTGGAGAATTATTTGATAAGTTTGATACAAATCTTGTTAGTGTAATGTTGTGACTTTTAGCCAAGCTAAGCAGTACAATAAGCTGAACTAATTAAAAAAATGTTTTTTTTGTTGAACAATGATTGTTTTATGTTTTAGTAAAACCATGATTTATTCTTGTTTTCCAAGTTATAGAGCATAACATCTAAGCTCTTTTTTTATTTGTCAGTTAAGCACTGTGTGGACAAGTCAAATCTATTTATAAAGTGCATTTAAAAACAGCAACTGTTAATACATTTAATTTATAAACAGCAGCTGTTAACAATAAAGTCAATGGCAGTAATTAAATAAAAAAGTAATTAAAGCATCAAAAATAAAAACAAAACAATGAAATACTAAATCAGATCACACTGTGTTAAACATCAGAGAAAACAGGTGTGTTTTTAGAAAAGATTTAAAAACAGGAAGTGAAGTGGCCTGTCTAATGTTGGGGGGGCGGGGGGCAGATTGCTCCAGAGTTTAGAGCCCACGACTGAAAAAGCCCGATCTCCTCTGAGCTTCAGTCTGGTTTGTGGTACAACCAAAAGCAGCTGCTCTGATGATCTCAGCACCCGAACATATGGTTCAAGTAGGTCATAAAGATATAAAGGTGCAAGGTCATTTAGGCACTTAAAGGTCAACACGAGAATTTTAAAATCTATTCTGACACGCACAGGGAGCCAGTGAAGGGAGAACAAAACTGGTGAAATATGATCAAACCGACGAGTGTTAAGAGCTGAGCTGCAGCATTTAGGACGAGTTGGAGACGTGAAAATGAGACCCGACCTCAACATAAAGAGCATTACAGTAGTCCATACAGGTTGTAATGAAGGCATGGACTGTTTTTTCAAGGTCAGATCTGGTCAACGTGGAGTTAAGTTTAGCTATCTGCCTTAACTAGAATAAACTTTTCTGCAGAACAGAGTTAATCTGTTTATTAAACTTTTTAAAGTCAGAGTCTAAAACCATCCTGATGTTTGAAACAGACCGATTAAGATATGAAGAGAGTCAAGATTACCAGGGACCGCCGTAGAGCTGGGGCTAAACACAATAACTCCAGTTTTCTGATCATTAAAACTTTTTAAAAAATGAGTCCATCCATGCCTTAATGTCATCAAGACATTTTAACAGAGGGTGAACTGTGCACGAACTGTTGGGTTTTAAATGCAGATAAATCTGACAGTCATCAGCATAACAATGAAACAGGCTCTTTGTTGTTAAATGTCAATCATTTCTAGTAACTTTATCCTCCACTGTGTCAAATAGACAGATAAAGAGATATAAAAAAATGTTTTTTGTCATATAGAGATCAAAACACAAGACTATTATTTGTTTTTTAAAGATGCTTAACAAAAATGACTGATAAACTGACGCTTTAGATGCCGGGACAAGTTGCCGTCTGGCTCAAGATTTTAACTCTTAACTTAAAATTATAAAACAATATTCCTTTTGTTCCGTATAATTCTTTATTTTTTGCATTTAAATCTGTCACATGAGAATAGTTTCAGCTTCCTAAACGTCCTAGCTGTGAAAATAATTTGCCCTTCAATAAATTGTCCCCACCTGGTCCTGAGTGTCTGTCAGTTTTTCACTGTTTGTCTTCTGGAGGACACGTCTGTCTGTTTCTGGGTTTCCCGTGTCCCTCTCTTCCGTTTGTTATATATTCACTTTTTCTCTTTCTTGTCGTCTCTCTCTCTTGTCCTCCGTCTCTGCAGATGCGAGTGGTGAAAGCCTTCCGTAGTTCGCTGTACGAGGGCTGTGAGAAACCAGAATCCCGTAACTCCATCCACAACTTCATGGCCCACCCAGAGTTCCTCATCAACGACCTTATCCACAACATCCCGCTGATTGACGACACGGACGTGGACGACGAGTCAGAGCTCAGCAGATACCAGCACCTGCATCCGGCCCTTCGCAAGCCGCCACCTCCGCCCGCTCAACCCCCGGCCCGCACCAGGCCTACTCGTCCTTACCGCCAGTACAGCCTCCCAGTGACACCGTGCAACCGAAACAACAATAACAACAACAGCAACAGCGGCGGCAACTCGACCGTCTGCAACAAAAACAGCCTGAGTAAAGATGTGACCCAGAGCCGCTGCCACAAACGCCAACACAACCGTCATGGCAGAGACAAACTCCCTGCCCCTCACCTGGCCCACCTCTTCTGTGTGGAGACCTCTTTATAACCGGGTCAGGGTGAAGGATGATGGGGGGGGGGGGGGGGGTACCACAGAGGGCTGAGGACACACAGTGACATTTTCATCCAGCCTGCCTCACATGAGCTCACAGGACGGAGCAAAGGACCGAGGAGGCACAGGAGGGAGTGGACGATGATCGGAGACTTTTGCTTGCAACAACTTTTCCTCCATTTGCCTTCCTCCAGCCCTCTCAGTGCCCCCCCACCCCCCACCCATCTGCTCTGGGCACAACCCCACCAGGCTTCGCTCGACGTCACACTCATTCCACACTCGCTTCCTTGTCCTGAGCAACGATTTGAATGGGGAGGGAAGACGGGGAGCAGACACCCAAACCAACCCATTTATCCCTCGACACATCGAGGCTGCGGGGGCCGACTCACGCCGTCACCACCTACCTGACTGCAACCACTTCAAGCGCACTGCTTTGCGATACATGTGAAATAATTTTGTCTCAGATTTCAACCATGTCCACCCCCAAAACATATTTTTCTAAACATAACGATGCTCATTTGTTTCCCAACATCACTTTATTTTTGCATCGCCCTACTTTTTCAGTCTGTGCACGTGTCTCGTCTCATTTAAAGAAAAAAAAAAAAAGACAAAAACAGAAATTACAAAAACGCTATTTATTTAACTCTTGATCGTAAATAGAACGGCTGCAGAGCTAAAAGTCGGGGGGCGTCCCATTTGTAACTCTTGCTGTTGGAATAATTTGTGTGTTTTTCCAGCCCGGTCCACTCGGACCCGTTACATCACGATGAGTGTGTGTGTGTGTGTGTGTGTGTGTGTGAACACGCTCGCACACGTTTGGGTTTTTCTGTTGCGTCCTGCCGTCTCCTGATGCTCCTTCTTTTCTTCACTTCATCTCGTCCCTTCTGCCCTTCAGGTCGACGGGTGTGTTCTTTTATTTTATTTTAGAAAAAAGCTGAACGCTAGTGAAGCATTAACCCTTTAAATGCCATCGCACGCACAGACGACGGTCCTTTAACGTGCACTCACCTCGCTCCCACTCATGTTCCATTGGGTCGGCTGCACCGTGTACCCAGAGGGTCATTTCATTTGTTCTGTTAGTAAAATCTCCCCCTCGGCCACCTGCTCGATCACATCAGGCTTAATTTATTTCTAATGTCAGAGTTCAGTTTGACCTAAAAGACCCAGCTGGCTCAGGATTATCAGGTACAACCAGAGCGCTCGTGCACGCCCCCACATCGTCACAAAGTGAGCGTATTATTCATCATAATTTACAGAAAATCCCCCTACGATAGCTTTTCTGTTAGTCTGAAGACCTACCAACAACTTTAAAACTCATATTATATTTCATTTAAGAGCTAGAAACTTCTTGTGTCTAAAAAATTAACCTTTATTGATATATTATTATTAAGTATTATTCAAGGTGCCTAGGTCCCTTCAAATCTCACTCACTGAATTTATTTTAAATTTGAAATATTTGCAGTTCCAAGCTGATCTGCAGGAAGAGATATCTGTTTTAGGTTGTTGGGTATTTTTTTACACATAAAAGTGACCAATAAGTTTTTAATAATCTGCAATTAGCCATGTCTTTCTGTATTTAATCGATTATTAAGTAGGCAGTTGCTACAGCGAGCTTACTGGAGCCCATGATTTAGTTTTCAAGATAAGAATACTGTTATTCTCAGGTTTAAGTTCTTCTAGTGGTTGGTAAAGATTTGCTTATCGAAGCTTGGCAGTTATCGTTTTGTTTTGTTAAATTATAAACGTGCACTGACCATAAAAAGTAAATGAAAAAGAATCAGTAGTATTTGACCGTCGGCTGCCCCGGTTTCTATAAACTGGTTTAAAAAAATGCCACCAGTGTTTTCTGCTCCTGAATGTTTACACGTTTTTAAAAAGTTGCCAAGGAGCCCCGGATGCTTTCTGATTGGTCAGCTCCAACGAGGCTCCGCCCACCAGGCTTTACCATAACAGTGGAAATTTGACAGAACCCTCCCAAACAGATGGGTTTGTTTTGTGTGGACAGATCATCACAGATCCGTTAAAGGAGATTTTAATTAGTAACTTAAAGATGCCTCGCTGGCTTCCTTTGGTTTGTTAAAATTGCTGCTCTTTTCTTTTTCATCCAGTTTCCACATAGAAGCAAACAAAAATTGACAAGGTGCCCCCCCCCCCCCCTGTTTTTTAAAGGGCTTCACGTCCAACCATCGTACATGTGCCCAGCTCGTGGCGTCATTGCCCGCCGTCGCCTCAACATTCCCACGGCTCATAACATTCCAGACCAGGTGTGAGCGAGCCCCCCACCCCCAGTGTCCGTGTTGCACTAGGTGTGGGTAAACCGCTGATGTCACGTTGCCTCAGAGCGTTCCATTGCTGAACCTGACCCCTCCCCCTCCGAACTGGCCCTGCCCCAGAGGAAGGCAGACAATATGCAACAGACTGCCGTGTGGACACGAGCCACACGTCTGTCCTGCCACTTGTTCCAGGACGTTTGCAGGGCTCTCTGGGAACCCCCCTCCTCACGCACACACCTGTACAGAACTCATCTTCTCTGGCGCTCATCGTCGTCGTCACCTGCCGGCGCAGCGGGCGGTGATCCTGTATCGGTCTGTCTGTTTTAACGCATGCATTTGGTATCATTGATGTCACTCTTTGTGTGTCGGTAACTCATTTAGGCTTCTGTCACTTCTGTGTGCTGTTCTCTCTCCACGTCCGCTTTCTTCCTCTTCATCGCACACGCAGACACACAAACATGTCATTCCAGTCGGATCTGTAGGAGACGCACACGCCAAACGACGGGGGCATCATCTGCAGTGGTGTACATTTGACTGTGCAGCTCCAGGCGTCTCGGTCCATCCGTCCACGTTCTGTTGTGAGACAGTTCCACAGAAGGCGAAACACAATGTGAAAAAGAATATATTTATCAAAAAAGTATAACTGCACCACAACTGTACAGATCGCCCAAATGTGCACATGTGCATCTTTGATTTACAGGTACTATGTTCCTGTTACACTTTTTTTTATGTTTCTTTCTTTTATTCCTATTTGCTTTTTGTAAAGAGAGGAACAACTAAATGGAGGCGCTTGTATATTATAATTAATATGATTATTAATTCTTGATTTTCTCCACCGGTGCTCCCACTGATGGACAAGAGACAGTTGCACATTCTCCTGAGGTACTCTGAGGCTGCGTTTTCTGCCCGCCCAGCAGCCCCTGAAGCGTGCGGAGAAACTTCGGAGACGCCGCTCTGTAAATAACAGGTGACAGAATCGTACCTCATTTAAAGTATCTGATGAAGTGGGGAGGGAGGAACTGGGGGGGTGGGGGGGACGCAGAGCTAGAGACTGCAGAAGTGCAGTGCCTCCTCGCATTGTTTAGGCTGCTCTTTTAGATCTGCCACCAGTGTTTACTGCCAAGTTAGTCGAGGGGACACGGTTTGTTTCGTTCATTCTACGTTCTGCTACAAATCTCACCTGCGGGTCGGTCCCCCCTTCTCGCACAACGCAGCGCCGCTCTGCTGACAGAAAGCGCAGCCCTGTGCTGAAATTAAAACAAAAAGATGTAAAAAAAAAAAAGTTTGGAAAAAAAGAGAAAAAACATAAAAGAAGATTAAATATATTAAAGTTACCTGCCTGTTATTTAAGCGAATAAATATCTATATATGAGAAAGAACACACCTGTATACTGTAGACTAAATCTGTATTGAAATCTAAGAGAATTTATTGGGAAATAAGTCCAACACCTTTTGTCTGTATGAAAGAAAAATACATCAAAGTATTCTACAATAATAACTTTGACAAAGTCTGTGTGGTCCTGTGTTGTTTGTTCGGGTCCTTCTCATCAGAAATCTTCGACTGACACAAAAAGTTTGTATAAAATGTAGATAAAACCTCCGAACTTTATTTTTCAAATCTTATAAACCCATATTTTATTCCCAGTAGATTGTAGTTGCTTTTCTTTGGCCTGCTCCCTCCATGTGCCACCAGTGAGCGAACATCTGATGCTTTTACTGACTGGATTCAAACCTGCGGCTTCAGGATTACAAGACCGCTGAGCTACAGCACCACTCATTAAAACACAGAAAACGTCAAATGTAAGATGAACATTTTGGGAAAGGATGAGGGAATTTAGTTTTATGGCAGCAACAGTTGTTCCAGCTCCATGTTTCCTCTGAGAAGCATCTTTAACAGCAGTCTGTGAACATCCAGGACCTGTGAACATCCAGGACCTGTGAACATTCAGGACCTGCGAACATCCAGGACCTGAGACCAGCTGTTGGAGGTTTTAGAGCAAATGTCCCATTCTGGTCTGGAGTCTTGGCTCCTCTTTACTGGATGGAAAAAGATGTTGCTCTAAAACCTTTAATTTTCTGTATTAATGAACCCTTTCCACATGGGTAAGCTGCCCGTGCCCTAATGCACCCCTACACCACCAGAGAGGCAGGCTTGAGAGCTGTCAACTGGCTGGAGGATCCCTCCTCTTTAGTACGGAGGACGTAACATTCGTGGTTTCCAAACAGGATCTCACATTTGGATCTGTGACAACAGTTCTGGACTTCACCTCAGTCCGTTTGAAACAAGCTCGTCCAGAGAAGACGGCAGCGGTTCTGGGAGGTGTTCACATCTGGTTTGTTCTTTGTCTGATAGAGCTTTAAGCATGTGTGAATGAAATGTTTACAGACAATGACCTGTAGAAGTGTTCCTGAGCCCAGAACAGAATCCAAATTCAAAATGCTTCATTAATTCCAAAGGGAAATTAAATGTAACTCGTTATCGTTTAATTAAGAAATGTTATAGTTACTGACGGCTGTAGGCAGGACCTGTTGTAAAGGTCCATCCCACAGCGGATCCAAAGAAATTGGCCGCAGAGGACTTACGATCCGTCCGGCCTCTCGGTTCCCCTGGGCAGAACTCCTCCCAGCAGCTGAGCTCCTCGTCGCAGCGGACAGCTGGCTGCAGGTGTCGGGGGACGATCTCGTTCTTCTGCTGTTACGAGCATCTCAGTGGTCAGGCACTCAAGCATAGCAGGGAGACGGGAACGCATCTACGGCGTCTCCTTTTCAACTCATTTGAGATTTGGGGCTGTAGCTGAAATATTATTACAGCTTTTGAGGTGTTAAATCAGCTACTTCCGGTTGTAAAAAAAAAATAATTGTTGTCATGGTTACACATAAATATCCAAAACAACAAAAAACGGACCTGGTTTTAATGCAGTGGCCCCTGAGGGCCTGAAGGACCATCCAGTGTTGACCTTCAGCCTCGTCCTTTGAGCTGAGATTTCTACAGATTATTCCAATCTGTTGATGAGATTATGAACTGGAGATTCAAGTCTTCAGCTTTCTGTTGACCTTTATTCTGAAATTGTTCCATTTCATAAATTTTCAGACCGGTGAACCTCGACCCATCTTTACTTCTAAAACGCTTTTCATGCCGTCCTGACTTATTAACCAAATTACAAAATGTTTCTCCAGCTGTTTTTTATTCCAATTTTTTTTTTAACTTGTTGTCCCAAGCCCAGCTTTTTACAGACGTGTCACATTTAAAACGTATATTTTAAATTTTGACATTTGAAATTACTGAGAATGTTGAACTAAGTAAGCCTTTAGCAAAATGTTGCATTTTTTTTTTATTTAATTTTGTCATTTTTCTTCCTGAAAACTTACTTTACTGCTCAAAACATTTGAGACCATACACAAAACAATTTTGTACTTTTTATTTTCAGAATAAAAAAACTTTTTAACAATAACATTAACAAGCATCACGTCAAGCTTTCGTGTGCAGTATTGTAACATTGTTTAAGAGGCGTGTTTTATACGAACATGGCTTATAATAGTTTAATTTAAAAAAAAATAAAAGTAATGTAAAAGATCCAGTACTAACCAGTCCAGCGTCCACTTCTCTTCAACTAAGTTGGACCGCACGTTGAAAACCTGGATCAGGACTGGTTCTGAACTGGCACCAATAAAAAAGGGTCAACCTCAGATCTTTGAACGGTCTCGACGAGCTAATGGCTAGTCAGAGCCAGGTCAAGACCAAATGAATTTCAGTCCCAAAACTTTACAAGTGGTCCATTCAAATGTCATTTTATAAACTTTGAAGTTTTGAATCTCACTGTTACTCCAGTAAAAAAACATTGATTTTTCCCTTAAGTGCTACAGCTATCTGCTACTGTACACCGTGCCAACCACAAAAACTCTAAAACTTTAAACGTTAAGCAAAACTGACACAAAAGCAGATATAAACTTATAGACTAGTTTAAACACCACAGGACGGCTCTGAATTTACCTAAATATCAAGTCGACCCAACAGAACTCCTGAACTACTTGTAGCAGCTAAAAGTTGTTCAACGTCTGAAATTTTGACAAAGTAAACTTAAATCAGATGGACAGATTAGGACCAGCTCTTTCAGTGGCAGAACTTGTTCAGCTGGACCTCTGAACCTGGACACGATGAAAATTACAGCGAGAACCAGTCTGGTCTTTCTCTGGGTCCGTCAACATTTGAAAATAGCTGTACTCACTCTTGCGGCCCCGTCTGCTACAAACTCTATCAAGTCTCGTTTCCAGTTATTACAACTCTTTGTTTAACTGTCCAACCAAAAGTCTGAAGAAGCAACTTTCAAAATATAAAAAAAAAAAAAACACACAGATTCAAACTGTCTGAATGTACGTCAGCAGATCATCTGTGGTGGAAACAGAAAAAATACAGGCGAACACATTTTACGCTTCAACAAGCTGAACCATGATCACAGACCTCCTGCAATTTATTTCTGAAAGCCAGAACTAAACTTTCAGGATGTCCTGCTGATGTTCCATCCATCTTCTACTGCTCATCTATAATCAGGCTGCAAAGGCAGAAGGTCCAGGAGAAAAACCCTGACCTCCCGCTCTCCAACTACACTTTTCAGCTCGTTCTGGAGGACCTAGAGGTCTTCCCAGGCCAGATACACAATCTCTCCAGACTCATGGGTCCTTTGTGGGTCCTCCAAAACTCTACAGGGAGGTGTGCTTATCAGATGAACCTCAACTGACTCATTTTGACGTGGAGGTGCAGCGGCTCTACTCCGAGCTCCTTACCTGATCTCCAACTGATTGGCAGATGTTTGCACTCAGCTGGTGGTGACAACACGTGCAGACTCTGTCATAGGCTACATGGGAAAGTACATTAACAATAATAATACTGCATTATGTGTTGTCATCATTATATGTTCCCATACAATGGAGAAATTGGCTCTGCATTTAGCCCATCCACCCCCAGGTGGAGCAGTGGGCAGCTATTGAAAGTGCCCAGGGAGCAGATTGGGGATAGGGTGTGCTGCTCAGACACTATGAGATGCGCAATGATGGGGGATCAAACCTGGAACATCTCCTGAGACTTTCAGGTCCCGAGTTAGCTGCCCTGCCTCTACCCCATCTCGGCCCCCATGATGTGCCTAAAACCTCCATCCGCACTTACCCGAACCAGAACCCATGGGTTAGGCAAGAGGTTTGTGCTCAACTTAACATGCGCCACTGCCTTTGGATCTGGAGACTCTGAGGCCTACAGAGCAGCCAAGTACGACCTCAGAAAGACCGCGAGGACCTCTCAGAGGAAACAAGGAGCGTGTAGGATCTGCCCGACAGAAATGACCCGAGGCGCGTTTAGCATGGACTACACTGCATCAGACTACAAGAGAAGGAACAGGTCTGTGGAGCTGAGCAGCGCATCATTTCCAGACAAGCTCAACACATTCTACACCCAGTTTCATGCAACCAACACACGACACCAGACATGTGGACAGTGAGGACGCCACACTCTGCAGACACTGCTACAGTGAGATGGACGTTCAAGATGAACCCTCGCAAAGAACCAGAGCTGGATGGAATCCCAGGATGGGTGCTCAGTGTGTGCTGACCAACTCACCAAGGTGTTTACCAGCATCTTTAACCTGTCTGAGCCAGTCTACTGTGCCCACAATCTTCAAGACCTCCACGGTTGTCCCCATCCCAAAGACCTCTGCAGCGTCCTGCCTTAATGACTTTCGGCCCATAGCACTCACATCTGTCATCATGAAGAGCTTTGAGCAAACTATCAAAACTAACCTCTCTAAATGTCAGCAAAACATAGAGATGATCGTGGACTTCAGGAAACGGCTTGGAGGCCATCACTCCACCATCTACATGAACGCTGAGGTGGAGGCAGGTCAACACCTTCAAGTTCCTCGACGTTCACATCACTGAGGATCTGTCCTGGCCATTAACCGTACATGACACTGTGGTCAAGAAGCCAACAAAGACTACCGGTACTTCCCAAGACTAAAAAAGTTTGGTACGAACACAAGCATCCTCACTAACTTTTATAGATGCACCATTGAGTACACAATATTACAAAGCAATAAAACAAACTAACTTTAAAGGCAACAGATCATTAAGACTTGGTTTATTTACATAATGACTAATTGCTGGATGTTCGGCCCCCGAGCTGCTGACTTTCAGAAAGCGTGGCCTCCTGAGCAGTTTTGTTGATTAGCCCAGCTTTAGTATTTCGTTTGTTATTTAGTTTTTAGCGAGTCAAATCGGTTCTTCTCATCTTGAACATTTCATTGTTGACACGGTGTTAACCTGCACATGACAAACAACATAAGGTTGAGCTCGGCCACCTTGCTAAGGAAGCTCATTTCAGCCACTTCTAGCCAAGATCTCTGTTGATCTCTCTCTAAATAAAACATTAAACTAAACAAAGTCAAGTCAGGTCTTTAGGACAAATATAAAAACTTGTTGAAACATTTAGTCTTTTATCCAAAATACTTATTCAGTCTGAGGAGGTGCACCTAACAGTTTTATAAATAGCACCTTCTCGTAGTGGATCCACCAGTTTGTTGTTGATATCCAGAACTGTTCACGTGATAACGGAGGACCATCAGTCGAACGTCCAATCGTTAGTGCCCTGAAGGCTGTTTGCTATTCACAGGGGGCTGAGTGAAAGTAGCAATAACAGCAATGTAAGAGGACAGTTTAACACAGAGGCTTGTGTTTAATGGTTTCTCTTCACAAAGATGGCTTCCTTCACTTTCTCAAATATTCTTCTCCATCAAGGATGTGCACATCTTCATCCCTGAAAGTGATCTCAGTGTCCAATTGTCACCTTCTTACAATGCTGTTATTGCTAGTATCACTTAGCCCCTGTGAATAGCAAGTGGCCATCAGGGCGCCAACGATCTATTGTTAAGATTACTGGTGATTGTTACGCTGATGGTCCTCCTTTATCATGTGACCAGTTCTGGCCGTCACCAGCAAACTGGTTGATCCACTATGAGATGCCATTTATAAGACAGTTAATTGCAGCTCCTCAGACAGACAGTGTTTTGGATAAAAGACAAAACGTTTCTGGGTTTTTTAATCTATCCAGCTGACCTGACTTCACTTTTGTTTTTTCACCTGGATTATCGAGCATGAATCAGGACGTTCAAATATTTATGATTTGAACTGGAGTTCTTATAAGAGTTTGTTTACAATGCACCTCGGAATGAAACAATTTTACACAAGACATACAACTGGGGGGGTTATTTGGCTGATTTTAGCTTTTACTTAAATTTTTGAGAAATTGAAGTGACGTAGCTCAGTTTTTATTTTAATATGTCTATTACAAAAGTCTACCACTCAACAATTCAAACTAAAATATTGTATTAATTTATCTGAATGTGATAAAACCTAAAATATGTGAATCTTCATGACATGAAAATAATTTAGTTTGCTCACTAATATTTTGTTTTACAATTTCCAGAAGTTGGCAACCCCAGGGGTAAATAAAGTTTATAATTTAAAACGATGCTTATGGCAAAATATTAAGTCAAACAAAACAAAACAAACATTCCTGCTAAATTTGTTAAAATGGTTTAAACATTTTCTCTAGTGGTTTTCCAAATATGATTTAAAAGTTTGAAACGTCAGACATAAGCTCTTGTCTGAATTTTACTCTCAACAGATCAGAGTATAAATATGAACGTTTCAAATTAGTCAGAATTCAACGAAGTTATTGTCACTTCAGATGTTTCCGTTGGTAAAAAGGTAGTATTGTCAATTTTTATTTATTTAATGCAGGGGAAAAGAAAGGACTTCTTTTGGACTGGTCCAACATTGAACGATACTTTTAAACACAGCGCTGCCAATTTGCGCAACTATTTGATTTGTTTGGCTTTTCCATATTTGTCCAAACTCATTGAATTTATTTATTTTTTGTCAGGACCTCGTAGGGCCCCCCTGTGAACAGGACGTTAACTCTGTATGACCCTGCTTTCTGTGTGTTTCCACCAAATGAGGACTTGTTCATTTGTTCTGACAACCTTTACCAGACTTGACCCAAATGTTCAGGAAAACTTAGGCCTTTATCGGCAGAGCTTGCTGTTCAGAAAGAGAAAAAGAGATGCATTAATATCAACAGCACAGAACAAGACTCAGGATATTTGATACTCAAACATAAAGTAAATGAGATTTATTTGTTCAACAATCCTCAAACATTTACAGTTTATTAAACATGATGAAAACTCAACTGACAGCAGTTTGTGTATCTTTACGTACATTTCCATATATAAATATTTACAATGGGTCTAAAGGCTGCTTCAGCGTCGCTCCCAGTAAAGGAGCATCTGTAATTAAAAAAAAAAATGCTGACAGCATCAACAGCTACAGGTGTTGCACAATGTTGGTAAAGTATAAATTCCATATACCGTTTGTTACCGATACTACCTTTAAAAAAATACCAGGCAGCAGCAGCGTGTCCAGCCTCTTCACCTCCATCAGCAGAATCCACTTTAGCATAAAGAAAAATAGGTGGCGCTAAATGAGTGTTCTTCTGTACAAAGGCGCTGGTTCACAAAGAGAACAATTCTTACCAAAACAAAATATATGTAAATAATCAATAATAATTCAATAATGTTTATTTCCAATTTGAGAGAATTTAAAATAACTCTTTGTGGACCATCACCATCATTTTATCATCTTAGCATACTTTGGCTTTTACATGTTAACTAAAATCAATCTTTAGTACAACAAAAGATTTGAACAGAGTGCTCAAGATCCACTGACTGGGACCAGCAAATGTATGAAAATAAAAGTACTACAGTTGCTGCTGAGCGCTGAGGCCTGTAGAAAAACAACAGAAAGTCTTCTGGTCTGATCCTTACCATGGAGCCAAGCGGGTAAAGATGTTCAGAAAGCCACTCATCCCACAGGGTGGAGCGACCTAGAAGAAACTGTCAACAAGGTTTAGCAGTAACGTGTACTCAACCCATCATAAAAACAAAAACAATGACATGCACATTCTGCAGTTCTTATGTAATCTTAATTCAGTTCATCTTCCCTGCAGCGGCTCAGTGTCAATATCAGAAAACAGAGAGAAGTACTTGACCCTACATTTTGAGCGCCGTGCTTGCACTCTCTGCACACTTTGTGCAGAACTCCACTGACACGTGGTTCTTGTCCACGTGCAGACACACGCCACCGGATGTCTCTTTCTCTGCCACTTTCACCCGCTTCCTGGGCAACGCGTAATCGTGGTCGTTTGAGCCAGGCCCCTGGAAAAGCGAGGAAGATAATTTCATCCCATTCACACCGCTCAGCCTGGACAAGAGCTGGGCTAACATGCTCTCATTGGCCAGCACAGCCCTCAGATACCTGGTTTCATCTTCCAACTCCTCCACCCGTTTTGTCAGCTGAGAGTTGTCCCGTTTGAGCACAGTGTTTTCTGTTGAGAGGACGCCCACTTGGTTCTCCAGGCTGTTGACGTATTCTTTCTTCTTGAGACGATTCATTCTGGCAGCGATGGCGTTTTTATTTATGTGGTTCGACTGGTTCTGTCTGCTCCTCATCCTCAAGTCAGATGGCGTTCTCTCCGGAGACGAGGCAGACGAAACTTCGATGCCGGAGTTTTGGCTTGTGACGTCATATTCGCAAAGATCGGCTAGGTCAATGTCAAAGAGCGAAGAGGAACCATCTTTCTCTAGAGTCCATTTTAGGTCTTCAAACAGGTTATCTAGCTCTGTTCCAGCAGGTTCCGTCTGATCGGCAGGGAACTCCTCAGATGGTATCAGGAGATCTTCAACCACAACATCTTCCACCTCAACCTCCTCTGACTGCACGTCTGGGATGTTCATGATGCGGCTTCTTCTTCTGGTGATCATTGTGGTGACGGCTGGACCACAAAGACACCGATCAGAGATCTTTTATTTCCACACCTGCAAAAAAAAGACAATGCAACGTGTTACAATTATTTAATTAAATAAAATAAAAAAACAGCCCAGTCCCTAAAGTGTTTCCGGAAACGTTTGACCAACGTATCTCGATGCTAACGCCGTTAGCTTAAAACGACGTATTTTAATTTAACCAAAAAATACGGTTTTTATTAATTTATTACGAACCTAAAACCAAAAATTAACGCCAGAGAAGCTTTTCGACATAAAACTATCGATAAAACAAACGGATATAAATATTCTGTTTGTAAAAATATTATGGGTTATTGGTTAGCATTAGGCCGAGGTTAGCTTAGCATCACTCTTCCAAGTGTAGCGTTCGGATAAATACATCTAAAATTAAAATAGGTTACCCTACTGTTTGTATTAGAGGTTTACAAAAAAAATCTTGTAAGGTCCAGCATCTTGTTGTGCATAAATTAAGTTCAAACAAAAATAATTCCCTCAACTCGCAGCTAGCTTAGCTAAACCATTGGAAACAACCGCCGAATGACGCAACTTTTTCACGTTTTGTCTTTAACACGAACTTACCGTCCAGTTTGAGATTTAGCTGCTGTAATAATAGCTAACTACCAGATAATTTTATACGAATTACTGATCTTTGTCCAAACCTGTCACGTCTAAGTGAGTCTGGGCGGCAAAACGACAGAAAAACGTGTTTTCTTCTTCTTCGAAGCAATTCTTCTTCTTTGGTTTTTAATTGGCGGTTGTCAAACAACACATGGTGAGTTTTACCGCCACCTCCAGGTATGGAGTGTGAGTCTGAACGTCAATCTGTCCATTATCTTCTGTGTTTGTTGTCCATTATCAAATTATTTTAATCAGTTTTGTTTCCCTGAAGACTCTAACTAAAATTTGAATACTTCCTGATTCTTTTTAGAGTATATCTGTGACATGATGGTGAAGATTCTCAGTCATCCAGGACATGATGAATTCAAAACGCGTTCACTACAAAAACAACGGGACTTTATTTGTAACAGAAGACGTTTCGCTCCTCATCCGAGGAGCTTTCTCAATTCAAAGAGCAGAGAGTGAGAGATTCAGGTTATACGGCTGAGTGAGATAAGACACACACACACATGTAGATTGGCAATTCACACCTAAACACCTTAACCGTAGGGGCCCCCCAAAAGTCTTTGTTCCTCTAATTCACAGTCGAGGCCCCTCTGTTCCCATCAGGTGTGAAAAACCGGCTGGGAATCTGTTTTAAAGTTGCATTGTATATTTTTGAAAGTGGAAATCTGAGGCCTCCTCCTCTGTTAAGAAGTGCTGCAGATGTTCTACCACTCGGTGGTCTCTGCAGGTCCATGCTGCAGATGTTTTACGCTGTGGTGTGGTGGGGCAGCAGGGTGAAGACAGCTGGTGCCAACAGACTCGATGAGCTCATCAGGAGAGCTGGTTCAGTTCTGGGAGTGGACCTTCAGCCTCTGACAGAAGATGCTGAGGAGCTTTTCACCTCTAGATATTTCTGAGTCAGGCATTTAAACTCTTCTCTAACACAGTTCTTAGGTTTTTCTACTGACAAAGTATTTTAAATCTTTTATAGTTTGTTGAAGCCACAAACTAATTTTGTGTTTTTATTTTTAGGGTAAGATTTGTGGCTCATTCTGATCATTTTTTTACTTTTATAGAAGAAAAAACATGAACTCTTTGTCGTCCATAACTCTTCCTGCCACCAACCAGTAAATAAAATCTTGAACTTCTTTCTAATTATGTTTATTTAAAAAAAACATTTGGATGTTTTTATTTATCTTAAGTTTAAGATGTTGCTTTTTTTAAATTTTCAGATAACTGCCTCTGTCTTTTAATGTCTCTTGAACTATTGAAAGTTTATTTTTGTATCTATGAATTGAAGCGTCTCCTGTGAACGCATGAACAACTGCTCAGTTACAACTTCAACACTTTCTGGTTTAAATCCTTTTTGTTTTGCTAAGTTTAATCAATCGTTAGCAAGTTTAATTGTTTTTAATGATTTTTACTTTTTAATGTAATTTGTCTCTGCATCAAACTTCTCGGGCTGAGGTCGATAAAGTGCAGCGACAAACCAGAAAGTTGTTTTAATTCTTTGCTTTAAGCAGCAGCCACGTCAATTTTGTATTTAGGTGAATTTATAAAAAACATTTGAACTTTACAAGAATATATTTTTTAGTCAAGTTGTTTAAGGAAATGTTTTCATCCAAATGCTTCTTACACGATGTGAAAAAATAATTGTTTTATAATCAGTTTGTGTTTAGGCGTTTAAAACAACGCGCCTCAATTCAGCTCAGTAAAGAAGTCAAAATAAAAAATACATTTTATTCAAGTTACACAAAACGTTTCAAACTGAACAAAACAAACTGGTCGTCATGAAGGAGATTTAATCACATTTATCTTTTGTCAAATCAAAGAAATTATTTTTTATTAAACAAGATTTTGTTGACAGGTAGACTTCATGTCATAGTTTGTATTTATGAAGAAATATTAGACTTTCAACAAAACTAGTGTGGAAATTAAAAACACATGAGTTTCGGAGCAGAAACATAAAGATGAGCATTAAAAAGTATTTTATCATTTCATACACGTGTTGGGGACATTTGAAACTAAACGTTTTAATTCATCTTCCTGTACAAGAGTGAACTGAAAATTTGTTTATTTCACAACTATTTTCAAAATTCACTGAAGCTTTTGTCGACAAAATCTCAAACTGATCATGAATTTGACGGTTCCTGCGTCCAGAGCTGGACTCGTTTCGTGTCCTCCCTCCCTGCAGGAGAAACGGACCGGTTCTGGTTCTGAACACCAGAGTCAACATTTCATCAACAGCACGACTCAGAAAAGCTTCAGTCCAGACTTCAGCCTGCTGACGTCACTTTGGCTCCACAGGAGGCCTTCGGCTGTTCTGGTGGAACCGGAGGTTCCCGGGACGTTTTGGGTCCCGGTGCTGTCCAGGTCCACCGGCTGGTCGAAGACGGTCATCGGAGAATAAGCCTCCACCATGAGGCACGACGGGTCGTCTGACTGCCCGGGAACTTTTCCAAGAGCAAAGTTCTTCCACGGGACGTTATCGGAGCACACCTGCCAGGGAGAACCTCGGAGCGCCTTCGCCCTCTCAGCCAGAACCTCGGCCCGTTTCAGCTCCTGGGGGGTCTTGGTTCTGTCCGAGCTCGCCGCGCTCCTCCACAGCTGGATCTGCTTCTCGTGCAGACTCTCCAGGGTGTAGAGGGGCTGCTGCTGACGCTCTTGGGCCGGGCCGGACTCCGTGTGGGCCGTCTGGGTGTAGATGGAGCAGAGCTGCAGCAGGTTCTGACGGGTCTCCGGGGGGAGGGGGTGCTCCATGTCGTCCAGGATCAACCGCAGCAGGTGAGGCGTGCTGATGCAGGGGGCGTCCAGGCACGACGAAAGCAGCTGATGCCAGCGCAGCTGGATCCGGTTCACAAAGATCCGGTCCTTGGCCCAGGCCTTCTTCTGCACCTTGGTTTCAAAGCGGAACTCGAACTTGTTGCAGAGGAGGAGCTCCGAGATCCACGCAGAGAGGTAGAAGGTTCTGTGGTGGTTCTGCTCGTTGGCGAGCAGCTTCAGCTCTGCGAACAGCTTCTCCAGGAGCAGGTGCACGAACGACAGAGAGTTCAGCACCTTCAGCAGGGGCAGCCAGAACCGCAGGAAGACCTGGGGGAGTCGCGGTTCTGTGGGGTTGGGGTTCTTTGAAGGATCGCAGCCCACGGTTTCCAGCTGCTCCGGGGTCGGAACCAGAAAGCCGTCCTCCAGCAGAACGTCCACCAGCATCTCGCTGGACTCCAGAGCAAACTGTTTGATCTCCCCCAGCAGCCAGCTCAGGTCTGACAGGGGGGTCTTCCACAGGCTCCTCTCCCTGTCCTCCTGAAGCCCGTCCAGGCTCTGGTACCGGTCCTGTTCATAAGAAACCAGCAGACTCCGGGCAGTTTTGTAGTTCTCCATCTGTTTCTGTCTGGTGAGGAGCTTCAGCTCAGCCTCCTCCTCATCATCAGACTGGGAGTCCCAGGCCTCAGGACACCCTCCCAGCTGCCTGGACCAGAACTCCTGCTGGAGCCACTCCAGAACCACCTTGCACCCCTTCCGGCTCCACTTCAGGGTGGGCAGCTTCCTGTGGGTGAAGTTGTGCCTCAGGTCCACGACCCACTCGGGGATGTTCAGTTTCCCGACCAGCCGCCTCAGAGGCCGGGCTACCTTCCCCTGCTGCCGCTCGGTGATCTGGTTCACGAACCGGACCAGGGCCGTCCCATAAAGCAGGACCAGATCGTCTCCGTTCAGCTGTCCGGACCGGTCCAGAACCTGACACCTCACCAGGTCCGCCGTGCAGTCCACGGCCACGGGCGTGCTGTGGGCGTACCGAGCCCTCCAGGCCGAGATCCTGTGCAGCGCGAACCTCTGCAGGGCCACATCCTTGGAGTACAGGTACTCCAGAACCTGGTCCCACTCGGCCTTGTTGAGCCAGGCCACCACATGGCTGGGTTTCTTCTCGGAACTACTTTTCTTCATCTTAACGGCGGAGGAGCGGCAGGTTCACAGAAATAATATCCCTGCGCCGAGTAGTTGCGGGTTTCTGACGGAAACTTTAAAAATAATAAAAAAAAAACAAACGGAGTCAACAATGTTCTGTATGAAAATATTCACCGTATCATCATAGAAGCCAGAAATCGTATCAATTCCGGAAACTACTACGCATGCGCCGCTTTTTGTCTGTCCAGGTTGATGCCGTTTGTCAGAGCGCCCTCTGCTGGACAGGAGCGGAACAGCAGCAGATTTAACAACAAAGTTCATGCTCATTAATTTATCATATTTATTTATCTGTTATGAATGACTTTTGTTCACGTTTGTTGTTTTTAAATGACCTTACCTTACTATTAAATTTGACTTTTCACTCACGTTTACTTCAGTCCTTAAATGTGACCAATTTTTGACCCAAGAAATAAACTGTTGTCGTGCCTACACGTAAAAACACACATTTCAATTTGTGATTCTTAATCAACAAGGAAATTCTAAATGAGCTGAAGAACTGTCATCTTAGCAAGGTCTGAAATATGTCCTTGGAGGTTTGGGGGAAATTGAAAAACTGATAAACCTCCCTTGCAAAACACATCTGTGATCTCAATGGGATTTGCCCAGTTAAATAAAGGTTAATAAATAAATAAATATAAAACAACAAAAGCAGATTAAATAAATTGTTATTTTCAGTACATAAAATTAATAACTTCAAAAATAAAATAGAAATAACTGACTGGACTTCTTGAGAGAAGCATTATCTTGTAGTTGCATTTATAACTTCTCGTAACTTATAGGAGAGTTTCATATTTCAGCTGGATCTACCTGGTAAAATAAAGATTTAAATAAATAAAAAAAATATTAAACTAATGACCTTTGGGGAATTATTATGATTGTGCAAAAATACTATTTTATTTGGCTTTTATGTAACTATAATTTAAAAAATAAAACTGTGTGGTTTTGTAATATGCCACTGAAAAAGTCTGTAAATGGCAAGTTTAAAATGGTTCTTTGCTAACTGGTGTACTATTCAACTGTTTTGTTTCTGGAGCGAGTGTTTTTAATTAATTTTTTGTCCATAATGATTTATGTGTCAGTGCCTGCCACTTATTGAACTAATGTGGTTTCTCCTAAAGCTAATCAATACAAACTTTGAAAATTAATGAGAAATGCAGCTAGCATTAAAATAAAATAATAAATAAATAATGACTTCAGAACACCTGTAAAATTGTCACTTGAGACATTACTTTAATTTTTTTTTTTAATTAAAAAATAAAAATTATTACTATTATATTAAAACTTAACTTACTTCGCTGTGGCGACCCCTAACGCAGGGAGCAGCCGAAAGAAGAAGAAAAAAAAACTATTATATTAAAAATAATAAAAACCTGATTTTTTTAAGTAAAAAAATGGAACAATGAGGGGTAGCTCGAGACTTGCTCTGTTCTGTGCAAAAATGTTTTTGTGTGGAAGTTTACCTTCCCTCTGGTGCCACTGCAGTGGCGGGTTCTGTCCGGTAGGGGGCGCCTATAAACCTTGTCTGTTGATGGCGCTGCAGTGGCGGGTTCTGTCCATTAGGGGGCGCCTATAAACCTTGTCTGTTGATGGCGCTGCAGTGGCGGGTTCTGTCCATTAGGGGGCGCCTATAAACCTTGTCTGTTGATGGCGCTGCAGTGGCGGGCTCTGTCCGTTAGGGGGCGCCTATAAACCTTGTGTCTGTTGATGGCGCTGCAGTGGCGGGCTCTATCCGGTAGGGGGCGCCTATAAACCTTGTGTCTGTTGATGGCGCTGCAGTAGAGGGTTCTGTCCGTTAGGGGGCGCCTATAAACCTTGT